ATAAAATGATTGCAGATAGGAAATTCGTTGAATTGGCCGCTTCGGCAATAAGCAAACGATTCAACGAACCAGACTCGTTATCGAGACATTCTTTCAACCAATCACTACGCTGTCCATGATATGGATACTGTGGACGTTGTCCTCCATACAATTTCACATGCACTGCATCTTGCTCCAAGTAATAGGCGGCGTTTGACTGATGATCTCTGAAAGATACGTACTGTACTCATTTGGAATATGATCCATGTTTCAGCCATTCTCTTTCGATGTTGCTTGAATTTCAACAATTAGGTTTTCATTCATCGTGAACGTCGCGATTTTGTTTACTACTGACGAATTGAGTTTGTATTTTAGGTGAGCGTTGAATTAAGAAACGATAAACTAACTTATACATATGATGCATTGTTGGGTCGAGTAATTGGTCCAGCACAACAGCAAGTTTCTCGGTGCAATCTTTATATCTGAAACTATGTTGATGGAAAGAAATGTCACTACACTCATCACACAACTGTATATTGCGATCAACGAACGATAACAGCTCTTCAATTGAACCATCTTCAAATGTCAAACCTCATCAACATTGTTATCGCTAGTTCACCACGCTGTCGCCGAGTACTTTCACACAACATTGGATTGTCTGCTTCTGAAACCATCAATTTCATGCCGAGTGCCTCTAATGCCACCTTCACGGCCAACTCTTCATCAGACGGACGACGTTGTGCACTGCTTCGAGTTGTGATTCCACTTGACGAACGACGCCTGAAATTTACTGAGTGAACTGAAGAGCTGATCTGCAATGCTCATAGCGCTGAAAAGGTTCAGTCGAAACAACTGAAGCCAGTCCACAAGTTTTCCACTCATTCCAATGAGTCTTTGAAAATGCGCCACACACCAATCGCAAAACTGTCAATCGATAATATTTTCTAAGTGGTTGAAATGTGATATGGCGATAGAATTGACCCTTGATATGATGAAGTGATGTTGTGAGAGTAGGAAAGTGCATCCAGAAGGTAATGAGCCAATGAGATTGGCAGTACACGGGCGTGTGGAGAACTGGCGAATATACTCGCGTTCATGACAAATATCCGAGCTCGATCACGAATCAGCTGCAGTTCATACGCACCGATCTCTAGTCGCCTCAACAAGTTCACCAATTCAGCTTCCTGCAATTGAACATGCTACACCAAACTAACAAATCCCTGATGAGCCCTACTTTAAGTTATGAGCCAACTGTTTTCATGACTGCCACTTCACAAGATTTCAATATAGTCAAACATCAATGAAAGTAATTAAGTATGCGATACTGTACTATACGTACGAACATTTTGAAAGAGACTGCTAGAGGCTAATGATGCAACAAGGAGATATCACTAACCAGATGGTACAGTTTAACTTCCAAGAATTTAGTTGCCGCAGGTCCTCGGGGCAACTGCAGAGCATGTAGAGCCAGCGTGAATGCTAATCGATGTGTTTCGGGTTCTTTGATGAGAGACTGCACCAGGAATATTGTCCTAAAATGGAGTTCGAAATCAGAAATTTGATTTACGACAATATAGGACATGAAGAGATTGGAGAATATGGCTCGAATCTTGCCATGTTCATTTGAACAATGTGA